CCCTGCTCACGGAGCCCCATGAGCTCCGGCCTTCACAGGCTCCTGCAGCCCGCTGCCTAGCCCCACACCCCCTACTCCGGCTGTGCTGCCCCCATCGCTCCCTGTTGACGAGTGTGCCCCTGGCTCCCTCGGCATGTGTCATTAGCTCTTTCTCCCTTCTAGAATGTTCTTCCCCTGAAATCTGCATGGCAACACCTTGCCATTCGATCTCAGCTAGCATGATGCCCTGAGGGCCTCTGGGACTTCCCAGGGGACAGGAGGGCTCACGCAGGCATCTGATGTGTACTTGTGCTGAGGCCTTCAAGTGTGTGGCCCCAGTGGAGCTCAAGCTTCGCCATCTTACTCGTGGAGGTCACCGGCCGACACCAGCACTGAGAGCAGCACCTGGCGCCGAGTAGAGTCTAAGAAACACGCATCTAATGTGTGCAAATGAATGGCACGCAGCGAGGCCCGGCAAACGTTTGCTGGTGTTTTCATTACTGTACACGTTTCACGGAACGTAGTTATGTAGACGCAGAGGGACGACTGGGAGAAGACACCCCGAAGCGTTTCCCATGAGCCCCGATAGGCGGGAGCATCGCAGGGGGCTTCTTTACACTGCTGGACGCTGAACAGCCTTTACTATTACGAAGCCTCCTCTCAGCCCAGGCAGACTAGAGCCTTCCATCCTGGTGCCCGTCAGCGGGGCCGTGTGCAGAGTGGGGCACACAGGATGCCCTGGGGGCACACGGAGGGCAGGGCCTGACCCCCGACGGTCCTGGAGGTTGGGAGGTGACGTCTAGGCTGGGACCTCAAGGAGGGCCGTACATTAAGCAGAGGGGGTGAGGGGAGGCCGGGTGGAGGGCTGAGGCGTTCACGTGGCGGGGGCAGCGGGTTTGGTGAGAATCATCATTGTGATCATGGATGATTCATAGAACACGGGATTCGGAAAGGCTGTGTGGACGGAGGCCCAGCAAGATTTTTAAGATGAAGAGTTTTCCGGGTGGACCAGGAAGGGGCGGCCTGGGAGGCGGGGCGCCTTCCTGGTCATTGACAGAGAGGCACAGAGTGCTCCCCACACCTGAGCACATCCATGCCGGGGTGCAGAGGGCGAAGGTGAAGTCAGACAAGAGGGCCAGGCCGAAGCAGGCTGGTCATTGCTGTGAGTAGTTCCCCCGAGTGGCTGTCCTAGCCAGTGTGAGTGCTGATGGAAGCGGGGCCTTCACAAGGGGGTGTCACCTGTGCCCAGACTCTTCTCAGAGGCCGCTGTGGCCACAGCGAGAAGAAGGGTAGGTGTCCCCAAGTTGTGGTTTAATAATTAATGCCAGAAATGTTGCGTTATAAACCAAGGCATCGGCTGTGAGGATGAAGGGCAGGATGCTGAGCGCACAGACGGCAGTGGGGTTCGAGGTAGAGGACATGGAGACATTGCAGTGTCCCCCATCATCTGACTGAGGACCAGACAGATGGCCCGTGAGACAGGCTGGAAGGGCCAGCACGTGCGGGGGTGGAAAGCAGAGTAGCTTTCATTTTATACGTACTCAACGTGATAGTCCTTGTGTCTGTCGCTTACAATTCTTCACATACAAGTGATGGAAATTTGTAAGTGAAGCGGTAAAGGGAAACGTAACGATATAAAAACCCATGAGGTTTGACACGGTGGTGGCTCGCGGTAGTGACTTGGGGAGCTCAGAGAAAAGGGTGGGGTGGCATGGGGCTAAAGGTGGAGGGTGTGCCCCAGGCAGTGGCATCAGGCCTGTGCTGTGGGGAGGCAGGAGGTGACATTTTGCAGGAGTGCGACTGAGGGCTGGGCCCAGGCCAAGGCCCAGCGTGTTCCAGCCGAGGCCAGACGGTGCCGGGGCAGCGGGCAGCAGTGGACTCGAAGGCGGGTTCTGGGTCCGGGTTTAGCCTGGGTGAATTTCCCTCGGGAATGACCGCCGAGGGAAGGAGGCAGGTGCTGGAAGAGACAAGTGGATGGTTCTCTGCTTCAGCCTCCCCCGAGCTCTGAGGTGGACCCCGCCCTACAGCTGGGGAAACAGGAGGGGGAGGTGGCAGCCGTGGGGAGGCGGCCTGGGCAGCCCAGACCCGCGTCCCGCGCCCCTGCACTGCCCGGCCCCCATCCTCGGGTCTCGGGGAGTCCACTGCAGTGCCTTTTGTTGCCTTTCCGCCCAGTGAAATGTCTTCCCTCAAGAAGAAATGTCTGTCTTCCTCTCAGTTTGCGGAGTGGTGTCTGGAATATGGAGCCCACGGGTGCCGCATCCCTGACAGGCCCTACTCTCTCTTTGAAGGTAAGGGCGAGGGGGGACACGGTGCCGGGGTGCGGGAGCCCGCCCGCTCTGGGGGACGGGCCCCATCACCTGTGCTCTCACGTGACAGCCCCACCGCTGTTCGTGGGAAGGTGACTGCAAACGAAGTAGTTTCTGTCCCTTCTCATTTCTGTCCCTGCTTTGTGCTCCCATGACTGCCTTCCAGGTGGGTTTAGCTCTTCTGTGGCGTGCAGACAGCACAGATGCCCGCTGCCTGCCAGGAGGGACGCCGGGCTCCTGTCTGTGCGTGTCATCCGTGCCGTGTTCATGCGAGGTCTGCTCACGGAAGCTGGTTGGTCACTTAGTGTAGTGATTATCTCGGTTCTATAAAGAAGAACAAATAATTATATTAGTAGTTAAAGGCTTTAGTAATTAGAAACATGAATAGGTGGAAAAAGTAATGAGAACATCGAAGAGAGTTCTGAGAAACAGGAGCAGCGACAGGAAGCGGCAGGCGTGACGGCAGCGGTCTGCGCAGGCACCGCACGGCGGGGGCCACTCGCGGAAACAGGATGGAAGTCCCGAGAGACTCCCTGTCTGGATGCTGTGTGTGTGTGTGCGCGTGTGTATGTGTGTGCGTGTGTGTGTGTGTGTGCGCATGTGTGCGTGTGTGCACGCATGTGTATGTGTGTGCCTGCGTGTGTGCGTGCGCGTGTGTGTGCGTGTGTATGTGTGCGCCTGCGTGTGTGCGTGTGTGTTGGGTAATCGCAGCATAAGCCACAGAAATCAAAGAGCAAAGGTTAAATGATATTAGGATAAATTGATGATAACTTTTAATTACTTCAGAGCCACATCCTATACTAATTCCAAAATAAAGTTCAGAAGAATAAATGATTGAATATTTTCTTAAAAATCAAATAATAAGCGGGTGTTAAATTTTGTCAAATGCTTTTTTGCAGTATGCGATAAAGATCACGTGATTTTTCTTCTTTACCTTATCAATATCATAGGCTTTCATCTGGATAGATTTTCAGATATTAGCCATTTTTGTGTCTTTGGACTAAACCTTATTGGTCATGGTGTACGATTCTTTTTGTATACTGCAGAATTGCACTTGCTCGTATTTTGAGGATTTTTGCCTTTATACTAGTGACTTATGTTTCTGGACTTTGCACCTGTTCCGGCATCTGGGGCCCCGTGGAGGAGCCTGTCCTGCCCGGGGCTCTGCCGCCCACCCCAAGGTCCTGTCAGCATCAGCCCGGCCTCCTCGGGACCCCGCCGAGGGCTGTCACCATTGTCTGCTTCCTGTGGGTGCTCACAGACCAGTGGCTTTAGGGTTTCTTACCTAAGCTTCTGGAACTCTTTCTTCAACCTAAAACTTGTAGGGAAGGCTGGGAATAACCCAAGGGCATATACAAAAATACTGAGGAAACCAGACTCAGCCGCTGCTCCCTGTGCGAGTCCATTCGCATCACAGTCTGGAACAGGCAGACTGCTCCGTGGTGGCGACGGCCAGGGGTAGACTGCACAGGGACACACAGGGACTTGCTGGGGGCGATGAAACCTCTGAGTCTTCATAGAAGAAGTTTGTTTGTGCAGGTGTGCGCAGGGTCAGACCTCTGCTGAGGACTTGTGTGTTGTGTCATGTGTAAATTTTACATCAAAGTAAAACCGCTAAACAAGGGGGTGGCGGGGAGAGAGGGTTTTTGTGATGGAGAGAGGGGGCCCGCAGCCTCCCTCGCCCCACCCAGGACCCAGTGATTTGGGGTGGGGGTTTTGACCAAAGCAAATAAAGTTCGTTTTTAAATAACATTCTTAAAATCTAAAGAAATACACGACCATAGCACCTGTAACTTTTTTGGTGGTAATTCTGTGAGATCATCTTAAAGTTTCAAAATAAAAAGTAAAGCCCAGAAACTAATTTTTAAAAAGAAGGTACTGAAGAAAAGTGGCATCATTACCTGCTGGGTGCTGATGTAAGGATTTGTTTGTTTGTTTGTTTGTTTGTTATGAAGTCAGTTTTGAAGTCCTCAGCTCCTTTCCCACCCCATTACAGCTCCTGGTAAAGGAAATGATCAGAGGTCACTTTGTCCCAGACACTCCCCCCTGCCCTTCGTAACGGTCCCCTTGTACGTTACAGGCATGGCTGGCACCATCCACTTTCTCTCCGATGTCCTGGTACCAGAGACATCACGGTTTCCAGCGTTTGAACTTGGCTCTTCGCAGATGGATAAAAAGGTGCAAAAAGACTGCTAAGAGACCCATTGGGACCAAAAGCCACCAGGTTGCTCAGTGCCTGACAAAGAACCAGCCACGTGTGAACCCGGAAAGGCAGACACCTTCTCAGCCCCGTGAGGCTCAGAGGCCCTCCAGTTAGCGCATGAGTGACAGAAACCGTGACAGTGTCCCCCTCCCCTGTGTAAAACGCGGATTCTTCACACCCAGTTCTCTGTCGCGTTTGCATGTTTCTCGGTGTTTGTCGTCGCAGGTGTTGGCTCTTCTGAGCGGAAGGCCCTTCTCCCCACGAGCCTCGCTGCCCCGGGGGCAGGGCGGCCGCCACTTCTGTGAGACCGTCTTAGGCTGACTCGTGAAATAGTCAGGTGGCATCTCGTGTAGCAGAAGGACTCTCCAGGGGACATCCCGGTGACAGCACTTTCTCAGCATGAGCGTGAGGGAGAGACCACGCTAAAAACTGGGAAGAAACCCAACAGATAAGGGGGCGTCAGCTGGCATGCTTGGGGGGGAGCCTTTCCACAAGGCCAGAGAACACGCCTCTGCTTTGTGCTCACCTGAGTGTTTTTAAGCCAAATGGGGTCCATCATGGCTCCCCTGAGGCTCCCCGTTCCCAGCCGAGGTTCCAGGCTCTTCGTGTGACATTCCAGAGGCTCCTGGTCTGAGATGGTGGGCGCCTGGCGACAGGACTTCATGACTGCGAGGGCAGTGTCCCAGACCACGTCCTGAATCGGGTCGCAGTGGCCAAGCACCGGCAGGTCCAGATGTGGCTCGTGTGACCAAGCAGACGGCACCTCCGCTTCATCACGTCACAGCTTACTGTCTCAGGCTCAGTGGGTAGAATTCCAGAAGCGTCATCAGCAGAAAAACTCAGCTGTTCCCACGTTGCGAGTAAACTTTGTTCAAAAGTTGGTCAGTTATCAAAGTAAAAGTTTGGGATTGATACGGTTCTTATGTTTTGTGCACTATTCGGATGATAAAAATCTCACATTTGATGAACAGTGTGAAGCATAAAGGTCGTTGTCCCCACTTACCCGGAATTCGCACCCATGCGGCCAGCCTGACCAGTGGTGTTGGCCTGACGTTTTTAATATTAAAAAAGGGCACCGATTCGGACGAGCAGACTCGCCACAATTCTGCCCGTGGGTTTCGGTTTGGGAAGGGTTTTCTCGGCACGGGACGCGGGGCCGGGGCTGCCTGCGAGCTGGCGCACGGACCGGAAAGCATGGCCAGGCCTCCGCCGGCCCGGGGGCTGTGCAGACCCGCGCCCGTTCCACTGAGGAGGAGCTGTCGCTGCGGGAGACTCGCCATATGCTGCTCGGGGCGTCGCCGAGCCTTGCTGTGGGCCCGACGCCCTGACCTGCGGCCTCGGTTTCTAGCTCGGCGCCTCGTGAGTCCACCGCAGACGCTCGTGTCCCGCCGGCGAGACTGTGTTCTCTGGTCAGGCTGGCCGCATGGGTGCGAATCCTCAGAGTCATGTCTTACCCAACCCGACCTCGTGGGCCAGCACTGCCAATGGCCCCGGGCCACGAGCTCTCAGGCAGAAGAGGCCACCTGATGTCCCAGCTCGTCCAAACGACAGGCGCCCTTCCTCCCAGCCACACACCCTGGCCGGCAGCGAGGTCCCAGCCGCCCGCCCCACGGCCGCCCTCAAGGCTCCGCTGAGAGCTTGGCCCGAGCTGCCTCGCTCTGGGGGAGGTGGTAGCTGCACGGGAGTCACCCCGAGGTCCCCGTGCAACCTGCCTGGCAAGCGGGGACAGCCGGGGAAGCCCTGAGCCTGGCCCCGTGTCTGCAGACCGGAAGCGGCGGCCTGGTTACCTGGGTCTCACCCAAGTGTGGAAGTACTTGCCAGTCTGTGCCTGACACCCCGAGGGAAAGACAGAGTACTGCAGAATAAACGAGACCTTTTTAAAGTTTTTATAGAGCCAGGTGGGTTGGCACCTTCCTGCTCGCCCACCAGCTGCTAATGGCTGCAGCTCTGCGACTCCAGTGAGTCCAGTGAACCCCTCGCCGGCGCGTGGCCGTAGCCCCAGCTCTCAGGCCCTGAAAGCAGGAGAAACGAAGACCGGACTTAACAGGAGGCGGTTTAACGGCTCTGAGTGTTGACTTCAGACCTCAGAACGCCCAACGACGATGTCTTAGATTTGCATCCCAAAATATGTGTCTAAATTTTAAAAACACGTGTGTGCACAACACCATTCTAAAATGGGAAAGAAAGCGAGCTGACGTCCACGCAGTCTGGGCGCCTTGGCTTCGCTGGTAGAGCCAGTTCTGTGGCGATGACCCGTGGGGCCTGCTTCGCTCGTGCGCCTGTGTCTGGGCAGCGATGGCTGGCGCCGGGCACCGTTCCGAAGACTCCGTTCTCCACCAAAAACGTGGCAACTGCTCCGAGGCCCCTACAACCTGGGGACGATGGCAAGAGCAGCCCGTGTCGACCACGACACCCACTGTCGTCTCTAACGATTATCGCACTGCGGGAGGCGGGCGCTGTCATCACAGACGAGGGCGCCGATGGCCTGGCCCAGGGTCACAGTGATAATGAGGGACAGCCAGGGCTCAGACCCAGACGGTCCTCGCAGTTGTCACACTTCTAACTGGCACTCGGTGCCTCTTCCTCATGCCTGATACAGAAGGCGGGAAACTGCGAGCTGGGCCGGGCCGGGTGGCGAGGAGACGAGCGGGGCCTCGTCCTCCGCCCTCGTCGTGCGCTCGGACGGCCCTCTGACCGTCAGCAGCACGTGGGTGCTGCCGTTTCGCATCCATTAAGTTCGCGAAAGCCGTGGTCCAAGTTTAAAGCCCACACTCCCTCGACGCTCGTCTAGCCTGTCCTTACTCCACCCCAGGCGCTGCTGCAGCTTCGGGGGGTCCCTTCCTCCACCGTCCTCGAGGGTGGCATGAGGCACGGGTGGTCCTCGAGGGTCCAGGCCCACTAACCTGTGTGCAGAGTTTTATGCACACGTGCACATGAACATTCACCCGAGAGGGTCAGAGGCTCAGGTGCCGGGGCACAGACGCTGGCGAGCCGGCTTCAGAGGGCGAGCGGAGGCTGAGGGAGCTGGGCTTGGCGGGGGGTCTGGAACTAGGCTGCCCCGAGCTTAGGAAGACCCTGCAACACCGACGCT